AAGGAGGAGCTGTCAGCTACGAAGGATGAGCTGACGGGCCGGCTGCTCTCCGTTGAAGAGGCGAAGGCCGGCGTTGAGAGCAGCCTGGAGGCCGTGACTGCGGAGCGTTATGCTCTTGTGGATAAATTGGACACTTTGCGGAATGATTATGATTTTTCTGTGGTATCGTTACAAAAGACTATTGATGAGTTACAAGATTCTGAGAGGGATTTGCGTGGCGAGTTGTCCGAGCTCAGGCGTGAGAAGGAGTCTTTGTCTGAGAATCTGCGCATAATGACATTGAATTTTGAGGCCACAGGTGTTAGATTGCATCGTCTTCGGGATATTTGTGGATCGGCAGGGGGAATGCGGTCGTTGGCGGATGGGAACGCAGATTATCCCGTGACGCGGGAGGTGCTAAAGGTGAAAAAGAAATAACTCTTGCTGTTTGAATTCTCTTTTTTTTTCGTGTTTTTTTTTGTTTTTCTAGTGTTCTGCTATGGTTTATCTTTCAGTTGTGGTGCCTGTGGCGGAAGTAGGTTTACTGGTAATTACACCTGATGGGCATCACAGTGGAGGTTGCGGTGCTTGTTTTGGCTTGATGCGTAATATGCCTTCCTTTTTTTTTTGTTTCGTTTTTGCGTGCGGTGCTGTTAGGTAGTTTTCTCAGCTGGAGAAGTTGTGCATATACGTGTCTCGTTTTTGGGATATTCTTTTTGGACGCTGCCAGAGGTTCGTTTCGTGTGTGTGTGTGCGCGCATCTTAGATTAAAGAAAAGGTAGATTGGGAAGCAGAGCTTCGGCTTCACGTAGAGTTTGAGGTAGTTTCTTTGCAGGCTTTTGTTAGACACAGAGGGAGGGAAGGCGCTCGCGTTGCCACCTTCCAGACTCATTTTTTTTGTTTTTTTCTTTTCAGCGAACCTGCATTTGTGCTTTGGGTCGCTGCAATATATCACATCAAAACAAAGACCGCAACAGAGGAGCGATAAGTAGATCCTAGATTTCGCCATTAGTGAGACTCACACAGTCATAGTTGCAGCCAAGGTATACAGGGAGAAAGAAGGAGTTAACAGCAGCGTAAAGAGCATTCGAGTTTCATTCTGCTGAGACACACTTTAGGGAGGATCGTGGGTCGGACAACTTCACAGACCACGCGAGAAGCGGAGAAAAGGAAATAGTGACCAGCCTTACCTCCATGTCCAAGGCGAGGTCGAAGGCCACACCGCGGCCGATGGATGTGCCCACTGATGCGGCGGAGAGGGCGGACGATGACCAGGGCAAGGTGGAGTCGGAGAGCGTAAAGGTCGCGGTGCGTGTCCGACCTTTCATCCAGAGGGAAAAGAATAACTCGTTGGTCAGCATCGTAGCTGTACACACAAAGAACAAGGTGGTAACAATAATAAACCCCCAGCCAAGAGAAATGAACTCCACAACAACGAAGAAGTCGTTCCAGTTCGACAATGTGTTCTGGTCGGTGGATAGCCCTGACGAGTGCGGCGGCAAGCCTGCTGGGCAGGTTGATGTGTACGAGGCGATCGGGCGGCCGTTAGTGCTTCACGCGTTCAGCGGGTTCAACTCGTGCCTGTTCGCGTACGGTCAGACCGGGAGCGGCAAGACGTACACGATGATGGGGGGCGACCCGAACGCGCTAGGCGGGGCGGACGCTGGCGTGACGCCGCGGCTGTGCCTGGAGCTGTTCCAGAGGCGTGCGCTCATCGAGGCGGAGGGCCACTCG